TTGTTCGTGTACGACGCTCCACGTACACACGGGCACTAATTTCTGAAGGAGGGGGGAGTGGTGGCTGGGTCATATTGCACTCCGTTGTCTGCAAGTGAGTGAACACGTGTGGAAGGTTCTGTGAGGTTGTTTGCGATTGGACCGTGGGTTTTATTCACGAGTGGCTTGATGGAACATTGGGCAGTGGTTAAGGTTACCACTGTGCTCTGAACCCGGAGTTCAATTCCCGGCTACCTGAGTTCGATTCCCCATCAGTGGTGGGTGATAACTTAATTGATCCTCCCCCCCCCCCCCCCTTCAACAAGTCACACTGTCCAGCATGGTGAAGTAAGGTTAAACAGCCTCCTTGATCGGACATCTGTGAGAAATAGCTTCATAGCACGTGGGGTTTATCCAGGATAAATAAAGATTCTGATTAAAAAAGATTAAGATTCTGATACGGTTTTTTGGAAGGCTTTTATTCGGAACTTGACTGATAAACGTCTGTATGTTAATATTATAGAATGTTAGAATGAGTCAAATAATGCATAAATCTAACGGTTCTTCAAAATAACTATTCATTCACAATGTAAGTGTAAACTGAGTTATGGTTTTAATAAATACCAAGACCTCGTGAGTGAAACGATACAGCTCAGTCAACCAGAAACTGCCGCGTCCTTTCAACCCTCCTCCCTCTCGCCTCCATCACAGCCCCCGCCAAACCAGCACTGCCCTCCCTCGCTCACTGTGCTAACAGAAGGCGACAACACGGAACATAGAGAACAGCCAAAACAAACGCGCCTGCACGCCGCATTAGCGACTGCACGATATCACATCAGACCTCGGGCGCTAAGCACAGTTGAGCTTGCTTCGCAAACTACTTGAATGAAGCGACTTATTCCGCATGAGCGATGATTCGGTGGCATGAACAGCAATAGCTTGTGTAGAATAAGATAAGCATCGAAAGGTTTGTGGACCTGCATTGGAGGAGTAACTCAGATGTCGGCACCATAAGGAAGATCTGAAGCCGGATGCTGGTGATGAGACTGTCAAAGGGGTCCTTGACGGATGTGTCAATTGCATAAACAAAGCCAGAGGGTCCGACACTGTAAGAGCTGACCTAGGGGGGGCAGGTGTCAGGTTTTTGTGTTTTGTTTAAACAGCTGCTGGATTTAGCAGAGAGAAAGTAAGCCATGGCAAGATATGGTTCCATTGTCTTTAATTGTGTTTCATGAACAGACGAACGGACGTGCACGTGTGAGTGTGTAGGGAGCGGTCATGTAACGGTTAGCGCCAACACATCAGTGACGATTATCTGAACCGGTCCTGGGCCTCCCCTTAGGTCGACTCAGCCTCAAATGAGTACCTGGTGCGGTGTGTAGACATGGCCACTGGGGAGACAAAGTCGGCTGGACGTGGTGTTGGGCACTCACCCCCTCGTGTGCCGCACCGGCCTTTATAGGTGCTCACTAACAACACTTGCCCCAAGTCTTAAGGCAACATGGGGGATCTTTTTCTTTGCATATAATGTTGCGACTAAACAAAAACTAAATTATTTTAATTTTAACATCTAAGGCCAATTGAGCTCTTTTTCAGAAGCGGCCTGGCCACAAATTATATCTCAAAGAAGTGGCTTATCATGTGAACATGTATAGAAGGCAAATACTCTTGAATGAATGTTTGATTACAAATGTGAAGGGAAAAACCGGAAGATCCGGTGAAAAAAATTAGCCGACCACGGGAAGAGAAAACATTCAAACTCCAAATATACAACAGACGTCAGGATCGGGGTCGAAACCAGGACCTCCTGTATACTAGGCGAGGTAGTTAACATCTCCTAGCCACCGTGATAATGATGAGAGAGACCCTGAAATTCTAAATACACAGCAGGTGTCGGGGTCGGGATCGAACCCACGAGTTCCTGTATACCAGGCGAGGTAGTTAACATTTTTTAGCCATCGTGATGATGATGATGATGACGAGAGAGACACGCAAACTTCAAATATACAGAAGACGCCAGGATCGGGATCGAAACCAGGACGTCTTGTATACCAGGCGAGGTCGTTAACATCTGCTAGCCACCGCGGTTTAATATCTGTATTGACGCTTCAGATGCCAATACCGACACGTGTCAATGTGGGTAGAGAGCCACGCTGAACCAAAGGTGGACAATAACCCTACTCTAGATCAACGCGATAAAAAACACATGATAAACTTAAACGCACCGACAGCTAAACAACTGCCTTAAACACCACACACCGCTACATTAGACACACACACACCGCTCCCTTAGACACACATACACACCGCTCCCTTAGACACACACACACACCGCTCCCTTAGACACACACACCCCGCTCCCTTAGACACACATACACCGCTCCCTTAGACACACACACACACCGCCCCCTTAGACACACGCACACCTCCCTTACACACACACTCACACCGCTCCCTTAGACACACACACCACTCCCTTAGACACACACACCACTCCCTTAAACACACACACCCCGCTCCCTTAGACACACACACACCGCTCCCTTAGACACAGACACACCTCTCCTTTAGACACACACACCGCCCCCTTAGACACACACACACACCGCCCCCTTAGACACACACACACACCGCTCCTTTAGACACACACACACCGCTCCCTTAGACACACGCACACCTCCCTTACACACACACACCACTCCCTTAGACACACACACACACCACTCCCTTAGACACACACACACACCGCTCCCTTAGACACACACACACACACCGCTCCCTTAGACACACACACACCGCTCCCTTAGACACACACACACACACACCGCTCCCTTAGACACACACACACCGTTCCCTTAGACACACACACACACCCCGCTCCCTTAGACACACATACACCGCCCCCTTAGACACACACACACATACCGCCCCCTTAGACACACACACCCCGCTCCCTTAGACACACGCACACCTCCCTTACACACACACACCGCTCCCTTAGACACACACACCACTCTCTTAGACACACACACACACCACTCCCTTAGACACACACACCACTCCCTTAGACACACACACCACTCCCTTAGACACACACACCACTCCCTTAGACACACACACACACCGCTCCCTTAGACACACACACACACCACTCTCTTAGACACACACTCACCGTTCCCTTAGACACACACACACACCGCTCCCTTAGACACACACACACAACTCCCTTAGACACACACACACACTCACAACTCCCTTAGACACACACACACACACCACTCCCTTAGACACACACACACCACTCCCTTAGACACACACACAGCTCCCTTAGACACACACACACACACTACTCCCTTAGACACACACACAGCTCCCTTAGACACACACACACACCACTCCCTTAGACACACACACCGCTCCCTTAGACACACACACACACACACCACTCCCTTAGACACACACACACACACCGCTCCCTTAGACACACACACACACGCCACTCCCTTAGACACACACACACACACCGCTCCCTTAGACACACACACACCGCTCCTTTAGACACACACACACCGCTCCCTTAGACACACACACCGCTCCCTTAGACACACACACACCGCTCCTATGACGCGGCACGTAATGCATTCATCCCGAGGCACCTTTGACCGAGCCACGGGGACGCTTTTGAATAATATATGTTAATGAGTGCGCCTTATCCCCATTGATTGCACTGCCATATAATTTCAAGCTGTTTTACAAACAGCGCCCGGGCTTCGTCTGTCCCTCTCATCGCCAAGTGTTAGAGACGCACGGGGGTTGTATTGTTTCGTGTGTGTGTGTGAGACGAAATAACACAATAGGTAGCACACCACAGATATTGTTACAGTTGATAACAATGGTCGTCCTTCTGCGTAGGTTCTCGCAATGTGCGCTCTACAGCTCCCGCGATGTTGGTTGCCGATGTGTCGCACGGAATATATTGTCCGACGTTTCGCTCCACTTCTAAAGAAGCTCCCCCAGCCGAACGCGAAGCGAAACGTCGGGCGCATCACGCCGAACAACAAACACCTCGGACAGGTTCAACGCTGGGGGGAGGTTATTGTGTCTGTTGATCTATTTATTTTCTCCTGCCCCATCCTGCTACCCGCCGGCATCAAATCACGCATGACACGAAGCCGTGCGCCGCTTGGAATCCTCACAGCGAGCACCCCACCATCTCCTGTTATAACACAAAACGTACGCAGACAACGCGCCTCCTGCACAAACCCGTCTCTCCGCGGGGAAACAACAGCAGCAGCAGCAGCAGCAATAAACACAATTATTTGTTGCACATCTCATCAGTAGCGCGCATAATTTTTTAGCAGCATGTATTCAAGACAAGCAAAAACAAAACTGTCGACTGGTTTCGACACGCAGGATCTCATCAGCAGCCGTCAGGTTAGCTCGAGCCAACGCGAGTGAATTGCCAGATGTTGAAAGGGCAAGGACGATCCCACTCCGCGCTCCGGGGTGCGAACATGATCTGTGGCAGGATAGCGCCATCAAAATAAATACTCGCGATTCGCGTTTTTCCCCTCGCTTCTTATCTACAATAGGCGGCGCAACTCGCATTGCCCTGCCCATAAGAGGTGTTCACTGCATGGCAATCGTGAGATAGGATATTCGGCATGAAGATAATACATTAATAAATAAACACAACAGGGGTGGAGGGGCGGTTGGTGATTCAACAGATACTGTGAACTCGCTGCACCACAGAACCACATTTACTCATTATAAGCCGACTGCACATCCCAGATTCGAACCCAGTGTTTTACCAGCGCGGGCTCAGTGCTCTGACAGGATTAGATTAATTCAAGGCGTTAATATGCGCAACCGATCCGTGTTCTATTTTAATGCGGGTGTCATTTGTCGGAGACGTCTTTAATTTAAGGTGGAGGCTGGGGCTAGGGCATGGGGAGTGGGGGGAGCGAGATGGGGGGTGGGGTTGGGGGGGATTCCCTCGGGCTGTGGGGAAGGGGGGCGGGGAGATGGAAAGGGGTAGCAGCAGGGGTAGAGAGGGCGGCGTGTGGCTGTTGATCACCGTGCGGGTTTGGGGAGCGCTACCTTATGCGGCGATGTGTAGGAGAATGAGGATAATGATGATGTGGCTTTGGTCAGCGTACGCCTATGCTGAAACGCGTTCGGCGGCGCGCCAGACTGGAGCTTTACTGACCACGACGGAGCTCCGTGTCGGGATCTGAGGCGACGCTGGCTCGCGCGCTCGTTATTGGTTCGGCTTTGTTTCCCCCCCAAAAAAAAAACTTCACACAAAAGGGGGAGAGGAGCGAACGGTGGGAGAGAGAGAGAGGAGGGATCGAGAAGGCAAGCGAAACAACGCGTGAAGCGTGCACGGTGATCACGCGTGTTCTGATCGTGGAGGTGAGTAAGACTACCGCATTAAATTCGTGATTCACATTCATTAAGGTTCTGGTCATAATGCACTCCCTTATTTACGATATGCCGTGTGCGCATATGTGCATGAGATATCACGTGTATATTAAACTTATTTTGCAACGTACGTAGCCACCCGTACTAATCGGAGGTGTGGGATATACACATCGTATATACTCTTGTAAATATGTGTTATATATTTATTGGCGTGGTGCTGTAACATTGGTAGGTGCTTTTTTTACACGACGTATCCGCCCACCGCCAGCCTTAGCGGAGCATTACGCCGCTCAACTACACACAGCAGTGTGGATGGAGCCTGGAAGAGTTGTTGTGCGTGGCAGCCCGTTGTGAACGATGTCTTAAAAACGCATCCACCAATGCTTTATGGATGTCTCTATTGAAGTAAACCGATATAGGTTTGGTCGCTTGTAGCCAAGCCTTTTTCTGTTCGCTCCCAGAAGGGGGGGAAATACATTCAGTTTCAATGAGCTCTTGCCTGTTTTAGTAATAAATATCTCAACTAATCATATACCATTATTAAATCATAACCTATATGGATTGTATAGCATTGCCTTTCACAAGAAGCAGGGTTTAGGCGGGTGTATAATAATGCAGCCAAGCAATTTGGTTAAAAAGTACAATAATTTCAATCTGAAATCAAATAGACTGTATATGGAGTAACGTATATATTAATTTAGAAAATGTGCTTTTAAACACATTCAATTCGGTAATTAACCAATTGAGAGAGCAGATGCGTATTTTCCAATTGAAATGTGGGAAGCAATAAAACATAATAGCAGTGATGTGAGTAGCGTAAATACGGCAATAACCAACAGTTGTAAATGTACGCCCAAAAACAACACGGAATTCGTACTTTAACTTGTAAAAGCAATGTTGGGAAATAAAAAGTAAAAAAAAAATCGGAGAAAAATGTAAGCATGTTATAACGAGCCTATCTATATGCACACAACAGATAGAATAACGAGCTTGGGTGTATAAGGAGAGGAGGGTGTTGAAGGATGCTCGTTAGAGAGGTTACGAAACAACACACACTTATCATACATACATATATGCACACATTCTCAACCGGCCGTGCTGTGCGCTCACACAGGGCACAGTGATGATGAGGAATGTGATCGCACATGGACGCCCACTGCACAACGGCGCTCACTGAGAAGTCGCCTCGTTCAGCACCACGGCCAGCGACGCAGAATTCAGCACCACGGCCAGCGACACAGACTTCAGTGCCAAGGAAAGCGACACGGATTTCAGAACCACGGCCAGCGACACGGACTTCACCACTAAGGACAGCCACATGGACTTCAGCACCAAGGAACAGGGACGTGAACTGCAGCACCAGGGACAGTGATGCGCTGAGCACTATCTACAATACGGGTTTCGTATTTGGAATGGCGCCTATATTGGAGCATTCTATAGGATGATAATACAGCACAAGAGCAGGCTGGTTCAACATATCAGCAATGTTATGGTGACGACATTACAATCCTGGTCAAAAAATTATAATCGGATAGAAGACTTGACCAAGAAAAACATGAAAAACTAGCGAGGTTATTGACAACGAACACATTGCTTTCAACTCCATGCGTGTAGAAATAGTTATCTCTGCATATCGTGGTTCAAAAAAATGGTATAATCTAATAGCCCGTGTGGGCGAACGTTACAGTAGCATGCGTCGTCCGTGGGGGCTTGGTGTGTTAACAAAGACGTCGCAGCATTCACTCCTCAATCCCCTTCTCCACTAGCACCTACCCCCCCCCCACCCCCGAGTCAAACCTGCGCCGACGTCGCGACGCGGCGAGTGCTCACTTTGGTACGGCTGCACCTCTGTGAGGGAGCGCAGGCCACGGGGCGGTTCGCTCAATGTGCCAGAGCCCGCATCCCCGCGGAAGATTCGTCAGCAGCAGCAACAGCAGCATTTACAACGTTTACAGCTGCAGCAGCAGCAACAGCAGCAGCAGGAGCCCCACGACCATGGCTCGGGTGTCTCTGGGAGGCGAAGATACTGCGCGCTTCGCGCTGCTCGCCGCGCTCATCCTCTGCTACCTGCTGTGCGGAGCGGCCGTCTTCTCCGCCCTGGAGCGACCCTCCGAGCTGGTGGCGCAGGAGCGCTGGCTGCACCGCCTGGAAAACTTCACTCAGCACTTCGGAGTGCCCCGGGCCGATCTCGACGCGCTTCTCCGGGACTTTGAGCTGGGGGCCACAGCCGGGGTGCGGGCGGCACCGCTGCGCCCCCGCTGGGACTTCACGGGGGCTTTTTACTTCGTTGGCACCGTGGTCTCAACGATTGGTGAGTTCGGCGCACGGCTAACAGCGGTATCACTGGCATCGTTGATTAGAACCGACAGCTAGCAGGCAGAAGCAGTGGCAGTGGCGTATTGAGTGGCATGCTGCTGCCGCTGCTGCGGCATTGCGATAGTCTGTGGCAGTAACAGGATCAGCAGCGGCAGCAGAATACTTCGTCGTATTCGTCATTAGCCACAGATGGTTAATAATTATTATCAGTAACCGCATCAGTAGCATCACCATCATTGTCATCAGCAGTAACATCACTGGCAACAACATTAGCGACAGCAGCAGCAGTAAGAGTGTAATCTCTACACAAGAGCGATATTGGTGCATACGCAGGGGCCCTGTTTCTACATGAAGCCCAACATTCCGACTATTTTCTCCATTATATGTCCCTCCCATGTCTCTCCTATGTCTCTCTATGCATCCCTTTCTATTTCTGTCTCTCTGTCCCTCCAGTGTATTCCCTCCATGCCTGTCTTTTTCATGATAAGTCCTCTTCCGCCGAGCATGTGTGTAGAGCCATACTTAGTTTTGAGACAGCTCTGATCAATAGCAGAAGTATCATCAGCAGGAGCATCACAGCATAAGCAAAAAATGGTCTATAATAACATGTCACAGCTTCGTCATCATCAGAGCAACAGGGTACACGCTTGTAAGACGGTATTCTTGTAGCTTGTTGCGAGACATGCTGTGTCACCGCATTGTCAGTGAATACACACAGAAGTAGGTTCATATTTTATTTTAGGCCAATGACAATCAAAGTTAGTTCACACCAGATATGTATACCTACTAAAATCTACGTGCCCATACAAGGAACAGAGCCAAATTTTGCTGGCTTTGTAGCTTTAAATAAAACACATACACATCTTGGGAAAGAAAAAAAAGACTTGGCCCAAGAGACACCCAAGCAATTTAAACTGTAGGGTGCCCTCAGCATTGTGTCGAGTTTTGCTTTGGCCAAACAATTGCTTGTGCATTAGACTGGTCAACAGGTGTTTGTTTTCCTTCTGGGAGAGCACCTTCACGTCTGTTTCCCAGGGTGGAGCGATGAGTTTTAACCCCTTAGGAAAAGAGCTCCCGAATTATAAGCAAACCACAAGTCGATGGTGCACCTCGTCTCACCATCAGCTCTCGGGGAGCTACAGCCCAGGGTTGCTTGGGCCTGCCGGGGTGGGCCAGCAGATGGCACTGCTGAGTGTTATCCCTTGAGTGTTTATTTCTATCTGTATTCTGGTTTCCTCCCACAAGAATAAAACAAATTGTCATTTATGGAATCGGGCAAAATTATAGCCATTAAATGTTTTTTTTTCTCGTAAAAAATGGAAATCGCTGGCATTTCATAGCCAGTCATAACAACTAGATTACTTACCAATTTGTGAAACAGCCCAAACATTGTTTTGGTGATTCTCCTCCATTAATGGCAGTGGAAGCAATCAGTGCATTTTCACAAACACACAAATGTGACGGAAATTAACATTTGTCAAGATAAGACAATCTAAACCAAACCAAACCGTTTATTTTCCATTTGCAGTTTACATTATCACACTTTAACTGTTAGATCATCTGTGCTTTACCGAACGCAACACCAGCATTTGGCCCGACAGAGCTCTCTCTGCGAACCGACGGAGAGACGATTGCACATTGAAGATCTATTGGTGTTGACGTTTACGATGGCTGTGAGTTGAAACGACAGCGACACTGAAACCTATGGGGTGCGAATATGAACGTCTGGCTACGTGGCAGGACAAGCCTTGAATGAGAATGTCTTCCGTTGTCTCCCAGTATGGGCAGCGCAAGACATTTTTGGTCTCCAATGCAATTTCTGCATCGGTGTGCGATGTTGTTGGTGTTTTTCATGGACATGGGCAGCCCTTCATCAATCCGCGAGTGGATGAGGGCCTTTTCACACCATGCGAATCATTTGACAATATCACTTTTGCCCATCTTTATCACGCCGATCAGTGTGGATTGGTGAAGGTTAGGGGGGGGCGTGAAGGTGGGGGGGGGGGCATATACGTGGGAGTATAAGAGTACTGTACAGGACTGCCATCTGTTGCCCACAACGTAGCCACAGAGCCTATTACACCTGTTTTATGTACAGGTGTCTGTCTCAGCACTATCCAGGCTCAACTCTGCTCTGACAATGCATAATTCGTTTATTTTGGGTTAGATAGTCCAGGTATAATGGCATATGTTTACCATAACCCACGAACAACCGACAGAGTCAATCAAATCCGGTTGTCACATGGGCTCTGACGAGTTTGTGCACATTCCGGGCGATTTGGTTCTCGGGGTCTTTATATATACATAGGTACATTATCGGGGTCTTTATATATACATAGGTACATTCACAATCAAAACCCACATTATAAATAACAAGTCGACCTTAGCCTGCACAATGAGCATAATTGTGTTAAAATTTCACTGTGCTGTAATTCAGTAGCAGCTGAACTTTTTTTTTTAACCAGAGTGCCCAATTCAGACAACACCATTAGGGGAATTTAAAGTATGAAATCATGCGGAGCAAATTAACGATTGCATCATAGTTTGAATCAACAGTGGACTACAAGGCTTCCCACTCTGATCAAGCACAACGGGCTTCTACTGTGGCATCGCATACTTGCCAACCAATGATCGTACCTTCATCACAGATATTGATCTAATGTTCTTCATACAGCAAATACTATTACAAAACTAAAATGTGGTCATGGTTACAAGGTGTACAGTATTTATCAATCGATGGATGGATTCACATCGATTCATAAAAGCTCACGACGCATGCATCGATTTGCCTTGGATTAAAAATATTTTCCGTTGTGTTTTGCCCGTGACCAAATTACCCAAAAGTTCACCCGATCGCATCTGATCTCGAAAGCGAAGCAGGGTTCAATCTGGATAGCGCTTTGCATGGGTGACCACTGTGCATGGCAGGTGTTATAGACTTCGTTGCTACGTGGTGGACAGCAGAGGGCAGTGCAGAAACATTCATTTATTGTACTGTACCTCCTACGGTCTCGCGTCAATGCGTTCCATCTTCACTAAACGTGCACTGCAGTCTGGTCAAATGACCTTAGTGACCTGCGCGGAGTTGGGTAGGCCTGTAGCGAGAAGTAGATTGACAAAAAGCCTGCAAATGGATAAATGTTGTAATAATGGGTTCACATGATCCCTGCAGCCACTAGTGGCCGTTGCATTCATCACAATCATTTTTTTTATAAAGACATTGATATAGTACAGTATTCTGCGGCCATAGAAATTTGGCAATTCGTCAAATTGCCGGGTGGGAGTTCAGGGCATCGGGGTGGGGGAGTGAACGGTTACACCGCGGGCAACGAGCACAGGCGCAGTGCGCCGTGAGCCCTCACGACGGGGCTCAGTCAACAATGTCCACTGCCTGCCACGTGGCTCCAGCGAGCGCTTTCAATTACTATTCACTACCTACTATTTTTATTTTAACCAGGTAAAGCCCACTGAGCCATACAGTTCTTTCTCAGAGGCGACCCCGGCCGCAAATGATAGATCAACAACAACAAAGTGGCTTATCATCACGAGGACATTTATAGCAGCCGTATCATCGAAAGCACACGTTTCTAAATGTGGAGGGAAAATCCCAGAAGACCCGGAGAAAAATTCCAGTTTAACACGTAGGCTTTCGCTACCAATATTATTCATAATAAAGGTTTTTGGGTTAGATCGCGTTTTTTATAAATGTGTCGTAACCCTCCACCACCCGACACGGCTAAACAGTAAAAAAATGTGTCACGTTTACAAAGGACAAATAGTTTACTACTTTAGCCCACCGGAGTGTTGAAGAGTGAATCAACATCATTTAAAATTTGAGTACGACGTTTCGCTGGTAATTACATCCAGCATCATCGGGCAATTCGCCAGAATGGTAAAGCCCTCACTTGCTCCCGGTCTTAAATAGAGCAGCAGGGTGACGTCATCATTTAACTCATTCAGGTGCAGTGACCACGAAATTAGAGACACGCAAAACTCCAAATATACAACAGGCGTAAGGATCGGGATCGAACCCACGACTTCCTGTATACCAGGCGAGACAGATAACGTCTCGCCACCGCGAATTCGCCAAGGTGGGAGCAAACAGCTGCCCTGCAGTTTGAAAATGTGACGTCACGGCGTGCCAAGGCTGGCTGCTTTGCTTGGAGGCCTGGCAGAGAGGTCTCACGACTGTCGTCTCTCTCAAAGGAGACGCGTGTGGCTCGGCGCAGGCACGACCTATTGTATACCAGGCGAGGTAAATAACATTTCGCATGCCTGTGCAGTGTAAATGAACGTTGGCTCTGAGCGAAATCTCAGGGATGACGAGTTGCGAGGTCAGAGGGTCAGTGGGGGGTGTGGAAGAATTTATGGACCAACGGAAAAAGGCTTGGTTCAGACCTCGGCATCCCTTACTTACGCGCCTGTTGGATGACAGGAGATGCTTCGAACGCGTGCCTTTTTTTAAGGAGTTTTATTTTGCTTTGTCTCTCAATAATACATATGTTGAGGTGTTTAAATAAGTCAACACACAATCGGTCAGGTGGCGGGCTCAGTGGCAGAGCGAGCAGGCTCGCAATCAGAAGGGTGCGAGTTCAAACTCCTGGTTGGGGGTTTGGCTCAGGCCATTATCCCTCTGGGGTCGATAAATGAGTACCACTTTGTGGGAGGAGTCAACAGTGGTGGTTTTCTACGGGTAGACTCACACATTCGCCGTAATAATGAGGAATTTCCACCATTGGCTCAGGGCTTTGAACAGGAGCAGAAAATTCACTTAGACTTTTGCCGACAAACGAATCACCAGGAATGTACCCGATCTCGTGAGAGCCTCAGTAGCTTCACCAGGGTCGAGCCTGGATAGTGGTGCTTTGCTTAGATGGGCGACTCCACCATGCCTAACAGAGCGTATAGACTGTGGGGCTGAGTTGGCAGGAGGGCGATCGGATTGGAGGGGGGGGGGGCATCATGCACGCCAGGTTGCCACAAGTGGCTGTGGTG